CCCGGGTAAGGGCCTCCGGAGGCCGAAGATTGCGAAAACCTCCCGTCGTGATGCCCAAAACATGAAGGATAGGGGGGCATGTTCTGCAGATGTATCAAACCAAACCGCCCAGACGTATCATCCCTCATGCAAAGACAGGGACCTAAGATAGTATACGTCTTCATTATCTGATTGGGGTTAGGGGTTCTCTTAGTCTCGATGACGCACGGTAAAGACCTCAGCTCCCCCCGCTGTGGCTGGTATGCCCCGCCCTCCGCGCCGGCCAGGGCACCTCAAAGCCCTTCGACTCGCGGCGCGCTCGCGCACGCGCGGAGCCCGCTCGGCGCCAAGTGTGATGAAAGATCGACCTTCCCAGACCTCTGGCTGCAACTCCTGGGGGGTCTTCGTGGACATGAAGTCTGAGATCTGGGCGCTGCAACTGCTTCCCGCCAGGCTGCTTCGCCCAGTTTCGAGCCCCTGGGACCCTCACAAATCGATCCATGATGCGATGTTCCGTGGCGTCATTGCACAGGTAAGTCCGAAGATCAAGCCGGATTAAGCGGGACCACGCTGGATGAAGCGGGACCAACCTGGAGTAACACAGCTTTCGACCCCAGATCTCTACCATCGCCGATGCTGAATGTAACCTCCCAAGAGTTGCAACCGAGCCTCGCGTCGCGAAAAAAAACAAGAGAATGTTGTCGACCATCTCCGGGGGGCCCGGGCGCCCTCACCAAGCCCAAGGACCCTCAGAATAGAACTCGGCATGAGCAGCCGGCCACGGGGCAAAGGTCCAGACCTCCAGGGGCCCACGCTGCGAAAGAACTACGACGCCGGAGCCGCTGGAGCTGTTGCCTTGCGGATTTTGACGGTGGTGGGCTCCTCGGCTCAAAACGCTGGCCAAAACGAACGCTGCGACCAGAGGCCTGGAAGCCGGTCCTGAGCGGATCGGGGTCGGGTGTGGCGTGCGGGGGGCCTTCGAAGAGGGCAGGGCGCCCTCCTCAGGCCCACCCCGCCTTCTGTGAGGGCCGGCCCCTCGCCCCGCCCCCGTCCCAGAGCTCCGACGTCGCGAGTGTGTGGCAGCGGGGACCCTCGAGGTCTAGGCCCCTTCCCGGGGACCTATATCACCCCGAGTGATTTGTGTTGCCGGTCCTGGAGCCTGGAGAGGGCGCACGGAAGGCAAAAACGTCCCGTCGCGATTTCCTCTCACAATGACACTGTAATGGTCGATTCGACCTGCAACAGTCGCAGCGGTGGCAAGGTAGTTGCGACCTATTGGCAAGGCGCCTGAACTGGGTTGCATGTCCGCCGAAATTAGTATGTGCGAATAGAAGACCCAAGCATCTTGGAGCAGCTAGACGGACTTGCAACCGACTTGCAAGTGCCTGGGAAGCGGGTCGCACCCGCCTTTGCATCTGTTGCAACTCACAGCGATCACTGCAGCAGGAGGTCTGGGCTTGTGCACGAGGCCTCTCTGGCCTGATCCGTCAGTGAGGGTCCCGCACGGCCCGAGGCGGCCACGAAGGCGCCCACCGTGATTCTCCACGGCGCACTGGCCCGAAGCTGTGGCAGCCTTCCAGAGGCCAGCGGGGGGAGGCGGCTAGGCCCGCCACTGCGATTGCCGCGGTTGGTGTGCGTTTGGCCATGTCGCTTTTCGCGGGGCAACAAGCAAAGCCCCCCACGCAACGAGACCAAGACGCGTTCATTTGTGTGACCAAGTCTCTGAGTTTGTTGCCGCCCAGGCTGAAAATGATCCCAAAAACGAAAACTGGTGAAAGGAGGTTCGGTGGCCCCTCCCCCCATCCATCCCCTAGAGCCGCCCCCCCGCGCCCGACCGAGCGAGGTGGCGGAATCGCGCGGCAGCGCGATTGAATATAATCTGCCCTGGGACACGGACCAAGACACCCAACACCACGAAAAAATCAAGGCGGTCGGTTCATCGGCGAGAGAATCGAGGAAGAAGAAATCAGCTGAGTACAAGAACGCACATGAGCACAGGCAGCATCCTTAGAGGGCATCGTACTACCGCGTGACGATCGCGTGCCAGGCTGCGATGGGATGTACTGAATATCGCCAAAGATGCGCAAGGGTCTCCTCGCCCCAGGCTGCATGGGCAACTTGCGCATGAATCTCGCGGCACCATGTCTTTCTCGGTCGCCCCCTCTTCCTCTTGAAACGGGGCAGTGCCACCTCGCGCAAGAAAGGCCGGAAAAACACCGTCAGCCTCACGGGATTCGTCGCCTGGCTCCCGGGCCACATGCCCCAGGAAGAGCAGCTGGCGGCGAAGTAGAGAGTTGCTCAGCGGCTTGGATCCAGCGCGCTCTAGGACGCACTTATTGGACACTCTGCTCATGTGGGGGTGTGGAATGCATTTTAATTTGCGCGGATGCACCTGGTTCGGAAGGCGTCTAGTATCCGACATTATTGTCTCCTCAACAACCACGCCCGCAAGCAATACAGCAGCTTCCGAACCAAGCACGCGTCAAAGATCGCAGTTCCCTGGCATTGCCCAACGTCGAATGATACCAGGCCCTTGCCCAGTCTCAAACTCGGCCCTGGCAGCGCCAAGTCGGCGGAACAGCTCCGCGCCGACATCCCCGACGCTGGCAAGCGAGCTCCCAGGGTAAACAGCGCTGTCTTTCTCCGGAATTGCCTCCCCCTCCGGCTCTAGGGCGCACGCGTCGCACCCCACCGACAAATCTTCCAGCTCTCGCCATTTGATTTGGAGACCGCACCGTTGTCCGGCTCGCCGCACGCAGCGCATGCGCCGGGAAGCCCCCTCGCCCGCGGCCACGAGCAGCGCGTCGTGCGCGCGCGCCCGCCCAAGCGCCTGCCGCATCAGATCCAGGTCGGGCGCCACCCCCCGCTTTGCGCCACGGAGAAATACCGCCATTACAGTGGCAGGGATAAACGGGGATCAAAAGCACCGCTGTCTGACGCCGAAGCTACGCGGGCAAGAATTGGACACCGACCCGGCGCCTCGGACCTCGAAAGCGCGGCCCCTGTCGATCGATCGCACAACGCCGATGGAATCCGACGGGGCGCAAACCCAGCTGGGCCCTGCATGGCGCATCCAGCGAAAACGCCATCACATGCAGCGGCCCAGCCCAGCCCAGGGCGAGGAGCACCAGACGCCCGCTTTCGCTCGGCCAACGCTTTCTCCACCAAGCGTCGGACGTGGGAAAGAGCACCTGCCGCGCCGCGCATACTCTCGAATCCAAACCGGTTGCCCCACACCCCCTGTTCTGCGCCCCCGATCTTGGGTCTGTCCAGGAGAACTGCAGCGAAGCGAACAACTCGTATCCCACGAACCCCATGAAATCGGCCTGCCAATATCGGACTGCGAAACGATGTTTTCCGCCTGGAGATAGCGATCACAGTCGCCTCTCGCCACCCATCTGGAGCGACGCAATCAAACCAGCACTCGTCGCCGAGCGCAGTCGCCCATCTGCGCGCTTCTAATCTTGGCCTGCAGCTTGCTCTCCAGAATTAACCTGGGATCTCGCCCTCGCCAGCAGCTCTGCCTGGCTGCAGTCTGGCAGCTGCCCTGGCGACCCCCCATCCTCCGACGCAGGCGCGGACGACAACGGTAGCTTGGCGCTCAAGGCGTCGTCCGCCCAGCCGCCACAATCGGCCGCGCGGCCCATTGGACTTGGCTGAAGCGCGGCGCCAGCGCGCCCGCCTGGCAGTCAGAGACCAGAAATTCCCAGCCTGCGTTCTGGAGGCGGCCCTGCTTCGGGCCGACGCCATTGCCGGAGCTTCCGCATTCGCGACCAGCCACCTGTCGCGACATGTTTCACCAGCTACTTCGACAGGCCCGCAGTGACGGACGCCCGCAGCAGTCTGGGCAAATCGCGCCACTTCCTCAACTCGCACCTCGAGCGCGCCAGGCTGACACGCCGAACAAACTCTAGGGCGCCATCCGAGATCCGCGGCCTCCTCGGGCGCAGCGAAGCAACAGGAAGGGCCTCGCCAACTGCTGCCCGCGAAGCTCCGACCATCTCTCCGCCCACCTCCCGGGCGTTCCCCAAGGGCCCCATGCGAGCGCAGAACGGTGCGCTCCGTCTGGCGCCCGGAGGGCAGCGACAGATTTTCCTTCGCGGCCCTCCCGAGGCCCCGCCCTCGGCACCCCCGTCGCGAATTAGAAGCACATGCTCGAAATTTGTCGCCCCACGCCCTGCGCGCAAAGCCCAGCCACGAAGAAGAAACCACAATGAAGTTGATCCGGCCGAAGTGATTGCGCGTTACAGGACTTGCTGGAGACGGACCCTGTCGCGGCTGGTGACTGGCGCTCAGCCAACTCATCAGAAAGCGCGCTGGCGGCTGCGAACACTCTTGCGCAGCAAGACTCTGCTAGCAAAAAAACGGTTCGCCTCCGGTCTGCGCCGCGAAGTGCGGGTTGCCGAAAACAGATTGCCCTACGACGGCGTCCTCGCCAAGCCCCTGGGCGCGCAGCCGGACGGCGAGGTCGCCGCACAAAAAAAAATAGCCCCTGAATGGGCGCAGCTCTTGAAGTTTCGAACATACTGCCACCTGTCTTCTGGCGGGCCCCCGCAAGGGGTACTAATCACGACCTTGCCGCCTTTGATCCAGAATTTGAAGGGTGCCATTCTCGGCGCAGCTCAATTGAAGCCAACGACGTTTCGTCGAGCCCGCGGCGCTACCAACAATCTAACGCCACCATGCTCGCTATCTTCTAATGAACCAGAAAGCACCAGAACGTATCCCTCAGCCGTGGCCAGAGTTTGGCCTGCGTGTCTCGTTTAAACATAACACGTACGTGTCCGATTCAAACGTGTGGTTTTGCAACTCCACGAGCTTCACTTCTATGAGGCCCTCCACGTTTCAGGTACCAAGCTGGAGACTCGCCCTGGCCACCGCGAGCCTCCCACCTAGAAAACATGTGCCTCATGAAATGAGTATTGCGTTTGATAATCGAGAGGCGGGCGTGCAGTGTTGCCGAATGTTTCCGCGAGCTCTGGTAAAATGTTGGGCGAAACTGTGCTCATGGGCGGTGTGTCCTAGCCCCCATTGGCGCCCCCCCTTTGCCACGCCCCCACGGCCATTCATGCCATGCCCCGCACGCGACAACATGTCAGCGCTCTTCTGTATGAGCTCCTCCACCTTCGGATTGTCGTGGAGCTGGCCCCACGTCCTCCTTTCTCCGTGCCACTCATGCCTGACGTCGCTCCCCTCGACGCGCACCGTAATGGAGTCCTCCCCACCGACGGTCATCTTGTAGGGGGCCTCGTCTGAAATCTGGGCACCGTGAGGAATCTTCCAGCAGTTCTTGAAAATGCGCTTCAAGCCGATTTGAAAATTGCGAACGGCACGATCGGGCGAGGGCCCATCCTGACCGGCGCACGCCTTTTTGTCTCCTGCCGGCAGGGCGGCTCCACGTTGTTCATCGACAGTCCGATCACGAGAGGTAGCGGAAGCATACTCGGCGAACCGAATGCCTTTGAAGTCGCCCTTCAAGTAAACCTTCGTTGGATGGGGGCCGGAAGAAAAATCAAGCGTTCCAACAGATGGTGGTGCCGAGCTCCACCGAGCAGTCCAGGTTGCCGATGACCATGATCACTGTACGCTTGTCTGTAATCAGAGGGTTCTGGAGGGCTGGCTCCTGGGAGAAGGCCTCATTCGTCAAGGCGGTCCTGATGCACTCCTGAATCTTGTCCTTGCCTTGATCTCTTCCATGCTGTAGCCTGATCGCTTCTCCAGCACCTCGCAAATGTGTTCCAGCATTTCGATGCGAAAGTAGTTATTTGTCAGCTCGGTTTCAACGCTCTCCATTCTGTCGGGCAGGGAGACCCCGATGGCAGTGACCTTGGCTTCGAGGTTGACGAAGTTCTTACGCAGCTGTGCAACTGCGGACGTCACGGGGTGGAGCTGACTATTGAGCAGAGCAACGATGCCCCGAATTGTAACAGGCTCTTACATCTTCTGGCTCGGCAGCTCCATGACGACCGTCCGCAACAGCGTCGAGCCAGTCGAGGAACGAAGTGCTGGCGCGCTCGGACTTCATGGCGGCACCTGGCTCTGGCCCTCCACCCATCTCATCAAGAGTGGAATTCGGACCATGCCCTACACGAGTCTTCTTAGCCACGCCCTCGTTATTTAGTAGACCACCGACTGAGGTTCCTGCCGCACGCGTGCCACGAGCGAGGGGAGAGAAAGGAGAAGCCATGTTGAGCGGTCTTGTGTCAGAGTGAGATAGAGTAAGCTGAGATGCTGTGGTCGCAGATTCTGAAGGCAGAGCTTTCTTAAAAATCTGGAAAACCGAGGAGGGAGGTTTTCTGGGTCTACTACTCGCCAATGCTGGGTCCGCCCCGATTGCGGCCAGAAAGCGCTCCAGGAGGGATCTGGGGGTCGACTTGTTTTGAGCACCCAGAACCTCCAGGGGCCCTCGCCAGGCCGCGGGACCTTCAAAAACGAACTCGGGATGTAAAAACGATTCCCAGGGAAATACCAGGATGTCTCTGGACGCGCCTCGGATGTACGTAAACTTCTACCGATGTACCACGATGCACTTAGCTTGATCCCGCAAGTCGGTTGGACAAGAGCCGTCAAGCCGATAGGGACCCCATCCCTTCACTCCCATCTCCTCCCATGCCTGAAAATTTTCGGGCCAGAACTCTGGCCTGAGGCGTCCGTGTGGGACGAGCTAGGTACCTCAAGAACGCTCTCGGGGAGGCGCAGCCGCTGGAAGGCATCCCGAGGCTGGAAAGCCGCCGAGAACCAACGAAAACGTCCAAAAACCTCATACTCGAAACAGTATCCCCATTCCTTCACAGCTCCTCCCATCCTCCCCCCCTCCTCCGCCTCGCCCCCCAGAGGTCAGATGCATCCAGAGGACCCCCCGTGAGGCCCAGAGAGGGCGGAGAATGCCCAAGAGCCTCGATCCCCCCGAACATCTCGTCCCTCTCCAAAGGGGGACCGATCTCTCATCCCGGGTCGTTGCTCAACGGCCCGACAGCCTGAAGCGGGCCTAGAGAAGCCCCAAACGATGAGGAACTGACCGCCCCGATTTTCCACGAAGGTTCTGGAGCCGAACCGAACTGACCGAACTGAACCAGGCCGAACCGAGCTGGCGTGAACCCGCATCTTTTCCAGCACGAATTGAACCGAACGGGTCGTTGTCTTCCCCCGAACCGAACCGAACCGAACGGTTCCAAAACTTGACGCCGAACTGGAGAGAACCTCCTCCCCGAACTGCACCGAACCAAATCGAACCGATGCCGCGCCAGGAGTTTTGGAATTGGGCGAAGAAAAAAGTCGATCAAATCCTGACCTCCGACGTTTTGATGTTTTGTCACAACGCGGACCCCACCGAGGTCTGGACCTTCTGCACGGAACCAGTTTCTCCATCCTAGTAGATTTAAGACGGCCACGGGGACTGGTAAGGACCCCCTGCGGCCGAAAATGCTTCAGAAATAATCTCCGTTTTAGTTTCGTAGAGGCGCTGGCTGTCTAGGATCCCAGAAGCTAGAAACTAGGAGGAGCTGACAGTCAGGAAACGTATAGCCGTCCTGCTACCATAACAAACGCTGAGGAAGGAACGAAACGTCTTCCTGGCCACGGCGAGCCTGAGCCGCAAGGAGGTTTCCCGACCTAGATCTAAGGAACGGCTCGAAAACCAGGGCCGCTTCAGAGCCAGAGGTCTTTACTCCAGCGTCTTGGCTGTTCGAGTTGTAGCTTTGTCCAGAAGCCTGCGTCGCGTCGTCGTCGTCGTCGGTGCCGGAGGCCCCGCGCGCGCACAGTGGCGCCGGCGGGACGCGCGGCTGGCCCCGCGCGCGGCGTGCGGGGGCCTTGAAGAACTCGTTGCCCTTCTCCCTGTGCGCCTCGGCCTTGGCGGGGTCGATGTACGACTCCTGCAGGCAGCCCTGACCACCTTCTCTCGCTGCGAACAGAATCTCTCCAGGGGGGGGCTGTTCATTTTCGGCCTCGGGGGGGGCCCTCCAGGGGCCTCGGGGAGGTCGAAGAACGAATGGGGATGAAAACCAGTCCTGGGGAAAGGGTCGCGACCTCTGGGGGTCCACGCTGCGAAAACAAACACGACGTCGGAGAACCGGAAAGGCGGCCCCTGAGATCCGACGTCGCGGAAAACAATCGTGCAAAATCGTGAGAAATCATGACCGATTGCCCCCGGCCCGCTTTTTAACGCGGCACTTATCCGAGCCTGGCTGGTTATATAATACGCGAGAGCCCCAGGACCCCGAGAACGCAGCGGAACAAAAAAACCTGGCATGAGAAGAACGTTGGGAAATCCATGCCTCCTTGCGCTGTGAAAGTACATGACGGGACGTTGTTGCACATGTTCCAAAAACTGAAACCGCTTTACGGGGACCTGAAACCGTCAAAAAGCATTCGGAATCCCCCTCCTCCTCCTCCTCCTCCTCCTCCTCCTCCTCCTCCTCCTCCTCCTCCTCGTCCTCCTCCTCCTCCTCCTCCTCCTCCTCCTCCTCCTCCCCCGTCCTCTCGTCCTCCTTTTCCTCCTCCTCATCAACCTCCTTACCGTCAGTATCATCCGCATCAGCGTCCTCAGCATCCTCAGCATCCTCATCATCATCATCATCATCATCAGCATCATCATCATCATCATCATCATCATCATCATCATCATCATCATCACCATCATCATCATCAGCAGCAGCATCAGCATCAGCATCAGCATCATCATCATCATCATCAGCATCATCATCATCACCACCACCACCACCACCATCATCAACAGCAGCAGCAGAAGCAGCAGCATCATCATCATCATCATCATCATCATCATCAATCAATCAATCAATCAATCAATCAATCAATCAATCAATCAATCAATCAATCAATCAATCATCAGCAGCATCAGCAGCAGCATCAGCATCAGCATCAGCATCAGCATCATCCTCATCAGCAGCCAGCAGCACCAACAACAACACCAATAGCAACAGCAGCATCACCATCAACATCTCCAGCATCCACATCATCATCCTCATCAAGGTTACCATCATCATTCTGCAGGTTTGACAGAACAAATGCAATTGGTATAGAATTACATCCAACACAAACTCTTCTGGACCTGTGGAGGGGTCAGCGGGGGCCCAGAAAATACTGCCAGGGAGGGAGAGCATCAAGGAAACCCCTTTTTTTCTCGGAGTCTGATGGATACGAGATCCAGGGCAATACCATAGACGCCGCTATAAGTGGTGGCACCTGACTTGCAGCCTTGCCCGCCTCCCGTCCGGCTCGTGACGCACGCAGGCAGGTCTGAAACTGCCGGCCCCCTGGTGGGGCCGCCAGGCTGTAGGACGAAGTTGCTGCTCCCTGCACCAGCTGCAGTTTCAAATCTCCAATGTTACAATCCTGCTTTCTGCTTCCTACTGTAAATTGTTGAAGCCCGCGCGAAGGGGGGAATCCAAAAGGATCCAACTTACCACACCCGAATCGCGTTCTCTGAATTCCCGGGGTGGCGTGAGACACGTAAAAATACACGAGATTCGCACCCCCAAGGGCATAATCCCTCAAAAATTAAAGCCACAAACTCATGTAAATTACGCAAGTCTTCCGTCCCCGAGGCAACAAACCCTCGTCAAATACGAAAAAAATGCGTCCCCGAAGCCATAACCTCTGCAAGTTACGCCTTATTCGCACTGCCGAGGCCAAGAGTGCTCCAAGGCGCCCGAAGATGGTTCCAAGACGGCCCAAGAGGGCCCCAAGAGCGCTCCAAGAGGCCTCCCGAAAGAGCCCCAAAAGGCCAAAATCGTAGATTGTCCGAAGATTGTTGAAGGATTGTAGCCTTCTCGCATTTTCGGTTTTCCGACGCTTCACGACGACCCACGAAGCTCTCAACACCGCCCCAAGACAGCCCAAGGCGCCTCCAAGAGGGCCCCAAGACGGCCAATAGGGCTCGAAGATTGTCCAAGAAGCGCTCCAGACGGCCTAAGAGGGCCCCAAGACGGCCCCGAGAGGGTCCCAAGCAGGGGACCACGAACCGAACATTCGATATTCGTGCCCCGAGAAGTCCCCGAGAGGCCCTTAGAGGCCGCAGAGAGGCCCCAAGAGGCGCCCAACACGCGCCCAAAGAGGCCTCCAAGAGACCCAAAAGATACCCCACGAGGCCCTAAGAGGTCCCCAAGAGCAAGAGCAGGAGCAAAGCCGGCGCAAAGCTCCGCGAGGGAGCTGCCGGGGGGGGGGCCGAGGTCCGCTCACAGCATGATGTATATATCCCGTAGTTGGTCCCACGCCTCTGTCTTCGCAACCTGCTCCCAATCTCCGTCACCAACGGTAGTCAGCAGGTGTTGTTTGATGTCGTCTGCCCACCAGGTCCTGGGTCGCCCTGTGCGCCGTCGGGCTGGCCTGCGTAAGTCTAGTTGCGGAATCCAGCTCAGAATCTAAATTGGCCATTCTGATGCCTCCATAAAACCACTTGCCGTGCCCATTCCCATTTTTCCGCCTGTACACTGTTGCCCAACAGTCCACGCTGCATTCGCGCATTCGTCGCGTTGCCTCGTGAGTGGCACGCTTGATCCATTCTGGCGAAGGCTCCAGTGAGGTGTCGGCTCCGGTGATGTCTGTGCTCGGGTTGGGTGGCGCAGCGGCGTAGGTGTCTGAGCCGAATAATAATAGCCGCCGTCTCGGCACACGCACAATCATACTGAGCATCCGGCGCTGGATCTTGCTTCATGTATTTTGCAGATCACGTGTAAGCATCCAACTTTCGCTCCCGTACAGCACAGTGGGCGTAATCGTGCCGCTGAATAGCCGGAGTCTGTCACGTAAGGAATGCGATTTGTCAGTCAATTCTTCCTTCAGCATGTGGAACGTGTTCCATGCATTGGCGATCCTGTTGTCGAGCTCGGCCTTGTGCCGGCCTGAGAAT